CACTGGCGAGGGTGGAAACACCAGTTCCTCAGCCACACAACATTTGACTGAGCCTGAGGACGAGGGAGACACATTTTCTTCCACTTCTGCCACTCATCCCCATCAGGATACATTAGGTGTGTTTGCAAACTTTGCAAAAGGGAAACCCACTCTCCAAAGTTTTAAGTTTCTATAAGTAACACTGATGATTTTTTTATTATTATTATTACTGGGTATGTGTGATGTCCCACCACTATAAATGCTGAATAACATGTGTAAGCTGATGCCATATGCTCTCTAACAGTAGCAGCATGTAGCAGCATCCCCACAAAATCCTGCTGCTGATGATGAACCTTTGTCCACAAACCCTGCTGCCTTCAGTTCTGATGGACAGAATTCAGACACTACTAGTTTACAGAGGATCAAATGAAGTACCACCTAACTTTGTTTTCCCAAGGAATGAGAGAGATGAAGAAGTTGCCATCAAAGACCTTGAAAAAAATCCCTAGAACTTGGTTGGTGTCTTCAGAAAGAAAGAACAGGCTTGTCTGCTTCTGCTGCATACTCTTTTCAAAGAAGAACATACATTTAACAAACTCTGGCCATTAGAAATATGGCACTAAGGGAACTCACAGAAAAACTGTTTTCTCCATCAAATAGAAATTCCCTCAAAGAGGTTGAACTGATGGCACAGTTTGATCCACTCCTGAAAAAGCACCTTAACCATGTCCAAAAAGGAACCTCTGGTAACACCAGTTACTTTGGCCACCAAATGCAAAATTAACTTGTTGATTTGATGAGCAACAAGGACATTTCAATTATGGTGAATGACATGAAGCTGACAAAAATGTTTCTCCATCATTCTCGATTGCACTCCAGATATCAGCCACACTGAACAGCTGTCAGGTGTGATCAGAGTTGTGTCACTATATCATCCTATACACAAACCATACACCTTGTTCTCAGCCCCCACGCAGCACTGGGCCATCCTGAAAAAAACATGTGGACATCACCTTGAAGATGTGGACTGAAACAAGGTGGGAGAGTGACGAGCCACTGAGGTTTCAGGCAGCAGCGGTGGGAGAGGCACTGACTGAGGTAAGGGATCAAACCAAACACCCTGTGATAAAGACTGAGGCCCAATCCTTCACAGAGGAGCTGGGATCAAACCGTTTCAGCATCTGTTCAGTCGTGTGGTGTGACATCTTGAGCCAGAGCCAACATGTGAGCAAACTGATGCAGTCTCCCAGTATGCATGTGGATGCTGCAGTAATTCTCCTCATATTTCTGAGAGAAATAAACATCAGCAGCTCAAGCAGGGTCATGGTCCTCGATGGCAAGTCCTTTAGTTCCCGTGTAAGCTCTTCGCCATCCAAGTCTGAGAGTCCTTTATAGTGCAGTGCCAAGCCTCACATTGTTCTGTCAGCTCCTCATGTGAGAGTCTTTTGAAGGGCTGAGGTCCACAAAGCAGCACTTTTCATACAAATCATTTGATGAATCTTTAAGTGATGCCCTGAAGAAGCTGGAGGTGACATTTTTCAGTGTTGTTGTTGATGCTGTTGATGTTGACCTCAGCCCTTCAGGAAAGATTGTCCACATTGGAAAAAGTGGGAAAGAAGTTTGGAGTCCTGTCAATATCCAAATTTGTGGACTGCTCTCAGACTTGGTCTCACTCTCCCAGTGACTGTAGTTGAATCAGAGAGGAGCTTCTCAAAGCTGAAGCTCATCAAAGTGTTGTACATGGTTTTGCTTCTAAATAGTGAACATATTTTAACCACTGATTGTATGTAATTTAACAATGATTACTCACAAATAAAATTGTATGCAATGCAGTTAAATAATTACAATCAATGATCCACAATAAGTACATACATTTATATGTACTTATTGTATTTATATGTACATTTATATGTTTATATAACAGTATGGCATTACACAGTACATAAATTAGTACAACAGTTACCAATAGAAAGTCAGTAAATTCAATAATTGAAGTTGTGCTCTGCAGTCAGTAAGGTTGGTTTATCTTTGGTCCAGATTATGCAGGCAGTGGCTGTGAAGTGTGCTGAAGTGCAGTCATCTCTGCAGGGCTCTCAAACTCAGCTCCTGGAGCTACAACACTCAAAACTTGGCATCTCGTGGGGCTGATGAATGAATGAGTTTCTCATGTACAAACTGATCAGGTTGTGGGTCAATTTGGAGGACACATGCAAATGTTTGTTTTTAGTAAACTTCACCAAACCCACATTAAAAAATCAAAGAGTCATGTAAAACCCAGTAAACCTTGAGATTATTATTTATGACAGTAGAATAAAATATATGGATATAATAACAAAAGTAACTAAATTGAACAACAATCAATTTTTTTTTATTTCATTTAACATTTTAATTTCATTGACAGCTTTAATAAACATGGACTTTAATTTCTTTAAAAAAGGCTTATTTCTGCTATTGCAGGCTCATCTTGTAAATGTAAGCTATTTATTTAAATTACATACAAGCGCAAACTGGGTGCTTAATGCAAATTTGCCACATTTGCAGCATCAGGTAATTATATTCCCCCATCTATGCAAATGTCTTTTTAGACAAAAGAATAAGGTTAATCACTGTCTGTCACATTAGTTCATAGTGATTGTCTCATCAACACAAAACAACTTTAAGCAAACAGTGTTAAATCATATCTAAATGAATTCAAATTTTATTCAAACTAGGAGTAATTGTCCTCTAAAACCATCGGGAATCAAGTGACAAGAAGTTTGCCGGTACAACACTCAAAATTGTATACATTATATCCATATATTTTATTCTAATGTCACAAATTATAGGCTATTCTTAATGTTCGCTGGCTTTTATATGAATAATTTATTATTTTGTAGTGTGGGTTTGGTGAAGTGCACTAAAAACAAACATTGTGTATTGTTGCAATCAGTGAGTGCTGTTTGAAATTTTCTTCTAAAATGAGCATTTTTATGACGCTCCTATGTGTAGGTTCAGTTATTTCACTTTAATTCACTGACAAGCTACACAAAATCGCGTTTAAAATAGCAGTGATTAATTGTCGATTTTGAACGCGATTTTGTGTAGCTTGTCAGTGAACTAAGGCTCTGTGTAGTAAATGCCGCTCCATCTGAAAGCACGTGCTGGAGATTTACTACTAATCACCACCAGAATCGGCTTTACTGACGAGATGCGCATGAAAATCGCATTCGATTTTTTTGCACAGCCCTACTTTAATGGCAAAGAAAATAACTTATTCATTGCCATTCAAGTGAAATTACTGAACATACACATAGGAGCTTGATAAAAAAGACCATTCTAGAAGAACATTTCAAACAGCACTTAAAGTGTAACACACACTTTCCACTGTATGTTTATGCAACAATACACAGCAAATTTGAGTCAACACGCTGTATCAGTTTGAAATGTTATTTTTAACAGATGTAACTATTACACCAACACAGAAGGTACAATATATTCACCATCATCTGACCCATATAAACACTGCAGATCAAAAGGCCCATTTAAGTGGTTATAACATATTATACCTGTTTGAACACTGTCCTCTCCTCGTGGTTGTCCGCCATCAATCAAAAAGGAAATAATGTGCAAGGACCGGAAATTGGATCAACTCATCACCAGTGTCAATTATGTCAACTCGCTGTAATTACACTGACTCCGACCACTGATTTACACTGCAAGTGTTAATGCCATTCAAATCAACACCAGAATCAACACTTTTTAACTCTGATAAATTAACACCATGAAAACAACTCTAAACAACACTGGATATTTTGCTGTGTATACGAGGTCGTGTCTGCCTTGTTTTCATCGAGTACAGCGCTGTTTGTGTGTTTTCTGAATTAAACTTGAACTTCCTCACATGCTTGCCTGCTGTTCTACGTTCAAGGTCTTAGGACTCATTGAGAACTTTGAGTTCAGTTCATTCAGACCTGAGTGATTTTGTGTTTTTGTATGAACAATTGTTTCGATGTTCGTGTGATAATGTTGCTGTTACTGAATGTGATCTGTGAGGGGAATGGATGAGAACCGATATCAAGTTTTGCTTCTGCAATTTTTATTTATAAAGTTTTTTTCTCTGACATTTATCTTTGGTAGATCAAATTTGCTTTAGTTACTTTACATGGTTAAAATTAAGAACAGATACTGCTAAATACTTCATATAAAATGAGCCACATACTGGAGGACAGTTTAAATAAATATGAAGAGATTTATAATATGGAAACATTCAAATTCTGCTTTGTGGTACTCTTTCTGTTTAAAGAAGATTTTATGATCACTGTCAGTTTCTGCACATATAAAACTATAACATGTTCATTA